GTCCATACTGACACACAGTTTTAGAGACACCCACTATTGATGTCAATAAGTTATGTCATAATATCAAGTACTTACAGCATATATATCACAGACTTGGATATTGTCATCTGTTTCTGTTGCCTTAGCGTTACAGCACAAATATTCCACCCAGGGGTCACATGACGCTACGTCAGTGAACTCTACTGATATATGTTTTTGTGATGATTCYTTCCAGCTGGTGTTTTGACGCTGACTGAAGAAGAATATAAACAAAAGGGTTATTTAATTATCATGTTATACCATGCCGCATAACATCTTGTTGCATCCCTCTCCTGTCACAACATGGGTTATTTAATTATCATGTTATACCATGCCACATAATATCTTGTTGCATCCCTCYCCTGTCACGTCACAACATGTCTCATGTCAACCCATTTCATGTCACACACACAAGCCTGCAAATTAGCACAGGACATGTGTCCGGTAAATGAGTAGTTTTGACTGTTAAATGTTCATTCTGGCCAGACCAGATTAGGCCAAACAAAAAAAGTGTGTTTCCTGTTGCATGAGAAAAATAATTGGGGTCGGTAGGCCAGACTTTTTTTTACTGATACAACAGTGGAAATGAGCTTCTTGGGAACTCTGTAGCGCATTTGGGAATAAAAAAATATCAGGGTCAGCAAAAATCGGCAAGAAAATTAGGGTTGTCGCCCAACAGGAAACACACTTATTTGTTCGTTTGGCCTTATCAATTGCCAGAGTCAGAATACTACATGTGAAAAGTGAATCCAATAATTGGAAAGGACAGTAACAGTCCAACAAGTGTTTATTTCCCAACCCATTTTTTCRTACCATTTTCTAAAGATGTAACCCAAGTATGAAGCAGGTTCTCGTAACCAAAATTCTGCCACATATTTTGTATCGAGTACCCCAGCAGGAAACATCTCAAACACATCAGAAGTGAACACATCCAGCTTATCAGGAAGATCATTGTAGAAGTTTTGATATAAGAACACTAAGTCTAGCAGGCCATTGTGGAGTACAACTGGTTTGTTCGCTAATAGAATGTGGGAGAAAATGTTTCTCATTGTGAGGCTGGTGAAGTCCGGTGGCTCCTAAAAGAAATATAACAAACATATGAAATATAGTTTTAGTATTTTTCATTTCATCATAATAATTTATTCATTTATGCCTGCTTTTGGTCTATTTCAGATCTCGGACCAACAACGTTTTTCAAAATAGGTGTATACATTGCATATGTAAGAAGAGAGGAGAGGAGAGGAGAGGAGAGGGGAGGAGATAACCTCTTACCTTATCAATTCCTCTATGGTAAGAAATTCCCTTTGAAAACTGTTTATTAAAATCAAATCCATGCTGAATTAGAAACTGTAGTGAGCCTGGCTCAACAACAAATTCCTGACTACAAAGAACACTCAAATTGAATGTCCGAACTTTGTAATCTACCACCACAGAATCACTGGATCTGCTTTTGTCATGGTAACTTGGAGTATTACTTTGATCATGTGCCATAGTACTTTCAGAATGTCCAGATGCTATGGTGCTTGGATTTTCTTTGAAACATGATATTCCAACTGTCAGAATGGCTCTAGACTTGGCTACCTCTATGAGGTTTTTATAGCGGTCGTCTATCGATCTAAAACAATCATTATTAAAGGCATTAGATTGTTATCATTATGAGAAAGGAACTCACTCTGGAAAGGATGGAAAACAATAGGGGCCAGGAAAGATGGAAGTAGGGATGGAAGGAAGAGAGGAAGGGAGAAAGGGAAGGAAAAAAGGCAGAAGAGAAGGAAGAGAGGGAGAGAGGGAAGGAAAAAAGGAAAAAAGGAARAAAGGAAAGAWACAAAAAAATAATTGATGGTTTTCACAGACACCATGTTGGATGAATTTAACCAAAAGATTTATCATTAGTATATGTAATAGGACTCCATGCTGTCCGATTAAGAAATAATTGGACAAGGAAAATTCTGAGGACTGGCAAAATTGGATGAGGCTGTAGGCYGAGTCCAATTTGGCAGTCAGAGGAATTTTTCGAGTCTAATTATTTCTTGATTGGRCAGCATGAAATCCCATTATCTATTAATTATATAGCTGCCTAATTAATCCCATATCAACAAGACCTGTCCAATTAAGAAAATAATTGGACAGTTACCTATATGGGATTAATGAGAAGCTGTATAATTAGTCTCTGTAATTATATCATCCAACATAGCCACCGTGCTTTTGTTATTTCATTCTCTTGGGAGTGATTGAAAACCAGCAATAATAGGAAGGAAGAAAGGAAGGAATGAATAAATGAAAGAAAGAAGGAATACTTGTTTAGTAAGAAATGAAAAGCAATAAAAGTTTCCATACTTTGCCATCAGTTTCTTCCTCTCGCCAAGTCCACTCAGTTCCTAAAAACCAAGTATTTAARCAAACAGAAATCTTATATCATCTGTACTGTGTAGCGAGAAGCTGCATAAAATAATACAAAAATTTCAAACCAAAACAATTTTTTTTTGTTTGAAACTATTTAAGTWTAAATAATCCCAGAGACTAAAACTATGATTGATGTTGTAACTTCAATAAAGGGAACAGTAATTCAAAAAGAATTCAAAAAAAGAATGTGGATTTTAACGGCGTTTCTTACAGTGTCTAGTGCGATGAAACTGGCTCCACGAATAGCTTCACGAAAACCTGGCCATACTTGCTGAATATTGTCTTTATGAACGTCTACTACAGGTACACGAACGTATTTTTCCATAACAGAGCTAAAATATATATAAAAACCTCAAATAATTGAGCGCAGATACGTCTTTAGGACGAAGTTTTGGATCCCTCTTCAAAACTAGCGCGAAAAGCAGTCTAAGCCAGGCGTTATTCGACATAGGAGAAAAACTGAGCCCTAATTTAMTTGCAAAACCGCTTACTATGGGATACCTGTGGTACAAATTTCAAAGTTTAGGGACGGTTCGGGGACTTTGGGTAGACGGTTGTTGCATTACATTATACCAGAAAAAATGTTTTAAAAATACTGAAAAACCAAGTGCCAG